ATGGGAACTCCTTTTTAGGGGGCGTCCAAAAATCCTTAAAAAGTCGATCACGTGATTAATGGACACCCCTGTATTATTATAAACAGGAAAGTTGGGAAAGAACTATATTTAGAGACCAATTCTTAAATAAAATAGAAATATTATGATAATACTATGTTATGAATCTATCTTCGTATGAATTGGTAAAAATACCTATGGCCAAAAAGCTATGTATTTTCTGTGCCATCAGGCATTTTGCACATAAAACCTAACTTTACGCATTTGTTATCAAAGAGACATCAGAAAGATGCATTTATGATAAAATTGTTATTTAAAGAATGTGCGTTTTGTAGGTGTGAAACGCCTGACACGTAGCTTTTTGACGGTTTTTACTACCAACTCATACGAAAATAGACCCGTAACATAACTATTCTATTTCATTAAACCATTGGCCCATTGATAGGCCTATACTTGAATAATATATCTATGTTTTGTTACCAAAGTAACACAGCATCTTTCTGATAAGCATAAATAGCTATTCTCGGTGTACATATTTTATTTTGATAAATCTTACTTGTTTGATGTTGATTTTCTTGATCGCTATGTGTTAGTATTCAAAAAACTGTCAAAAAGTTATACTTATGCTGTGTATACAAGCGAATATTTACATTTTTGATACTGTAACCTCCATATAGCACAAATATCAATTATTAGTATGACTTCAGGCATATTTTATTTATAAGAGCAACGAAGTACTTATTATTTTAATAAATACTTTTTTTCAAAATAACTTGTCTTTAAAATATTTTGAATATATCTTTTTTATATCTTCTAAATATTAAAACGTTTTGTTATTAAAATTATTAATATTTGGGAAATCAATATTAATTATTAATTATATTATCAATATTATACAACTTCACGTCATTAATGTGGCAGCCATTAAAACGGGCAGCCATTTTGTTTTGAAATGAATAAAATGGCGTTACATTAATGAAATTTGATAAAAGTTATAAACTTGTGGTGAATGGCATCGTGTCTTAGGGCAAATTGCTGGTACTTCCCGTACCGTAACGAAATGTTCGAGAAATATTAAATGTTTTCAAATAGATTATTATAAATACTGTAACATTATCTAATATTTATAAGAGTTATATAAACTGAATTACAAAGTAGAAATTATTTATTTAAAGTATATAAGTGAGCTTTAGAACTGTAGCCAGAATTAAAATTAGAATATGAATTATTGTCGATACCCAAAAAAAAAATTGAGAAAAAAAATTAGGAAAAAAATGAAATTTTTTGTTTCCAGAAGCAATTATTTTATCAAAACAATCAGAAAGTTTTTTGAATCATTCAAATCGGATGCTTAGTTTACTCAAAATCAAAAATTTTCATTATCGATTTTCGGCCCATTGCTATAACTACCCTATGGGAAATTAATAAGTGTAGCCTTGATAATAATATGAATATGTTAATACATAAATTATATTATATCACTCATGAATTACGACGAAAATACGACGTAAATAAAAAATGCATTCTCATCTTACAGTAAGATAATAGAACAAGTTAATTCGGCATAAGTCTGCAAAATTTTAACGCAGACGTCAAAATAATTAAAATTTGCCAACGTGCAAATTCAAACAGTTCTAATTTGCATAAATATTTGCATTCCCGGTCTCATTTTGATAATTAAAACACAAGACGAGACGACATTTTTTTTTATTTAACATATTTTCGTTTTGTTTACAACGTAAAGAAGTTCTTCATTATTTGCAATCGGATGACATTGTAATAGCGTCAATAATAATTAATAATAATGTTGCGTTTTATTTAAAATTTAAACTTCATATGTGCATTCTTCATAACAATTGTTACGGTTTTGATGTCACGGTTTTTCACAAAGATTAATTACAATATTTTTAATAAATTGATAACCTCTCGACGGTTTATTGTGTCTTCGTTTAATTCACTCGATGCGATAATGATGTTGCAAAATCTGCAAAAAAATTGTTATTGTTTATTGGCATCTGTCAAGTTGCATATTTATTTGTTTACTGCATTTTTTGCTTCACATTTTGTTTATCAAAGAGTCCAGTTTCGATGTCGCGACTGAAGAATTTTGAGACATTAATCGTAAAAATTAATGGGTTGATAATAAATAATTTGAATGGGAGGATAAAAGTTGATTTAGTTGGTGTATGTTTTAATAATAAGTGTTTGACACGTTAAACGATAATTTAGAGTTTGCTCATTAACCAGTTACGATATTTACGTTGTATTTTTTATATGACAGGCAAAAATATTTGATATCATGAAGTTCTGTTCTTAAAATTATCAATATTGAAGATACACAACTCAAAAATTTAAAGTATTTTTTTTTATTCCTTTTGTACTTTAATTGAGCAATCAATTTTATACAACTTCATGTTGTTAATGTGGCAACACTAAAGAACGCAGCCATTTTGTTTTAAAACAGTATTATAAAATGGCGTTATATTAATAATAATATGATCTAAATAAATTACAAATGTTTTACCACAATGGCCTCAATTTTTATGTCAAAGTTATTTAAAGATTGAAATTGTTTTTTAATTAATAATTAGTATTTTTATGTAGTAAAACACTTGAATTACGCTTTTTTGTATAAAATTAAGGTTAGGTTTACACTTTTATTTTGACCGCTTTCTTTCCAAATAAAACGTTACTCTAAATTTAATATTATTTAAGAAATAATTGCGTCAAATAAATAATATAACTAATCACCATTTGCAATCATTTAAAATTCCTTTTATCAATAATTTAATCATTTTAATATAATTATTATATTGATATGAATGCAGTATATTGAAATCTTATCTTGTTTTAAGTGATAAAAACAAGAACATGAAAAATTGGTGAACTTTAGATAAGAAAATTGCAATTCTATTGAAAATATTTTAGCATGTGTAGAACATAAATATATATATTTACACACGGTTCGCATATTTTTGAGCAAATTGCAACTTTTTTTTATTAAAATTGATTTCTCATCTAATAATAAAAATCTGAAGATTATAAATTAATTTTTGTACGAGTAATAATCAAAATTATTTTGGATCAATATAAATTTTATAATTTAATTTATACAGCGCCTTAAAATTAGTAAAAATTAATAAAATAACATCATTAACAATTTTTGTAAAGGAATCACATATAATTTGTATAAAAATCATATTTTTATTACTATGACGCCATTTTATGTCTATTTGTTACGAATGGCAGTTTAAAATAAAATGACTGTTTTTTTTAGTGTGACGTTGCCTATGTTATTTTTTCATATTAATATTTTTGAATCATGTTTTCTGAAAGTTTCAATAATATTTCTCAAAGTTCCGTATAAGATGACAATTGATTTAGCGATGACTAAATAAAAAAAATGCAGCTTAGTGTTAATAATAAAATAAATAAATAATATAATGAACAGTGTTTGCCTTGTACTATATTTTACGAACTTGAAATTTCTCACTTATTGTATATAATTATATATATATATATATATATATATATATATATATATATTTACATATGAGAAATATCTCCATACCTGTCTAATTAACTTTGAGAAAGGTTGAATTTCAATTTAACAAAAAACCGTTCTATGACATTGACTTACAACTTGAAGAGAACATGCATAAATTATGATTTTATTAGTAGAGAAGTCGATTTTTATAGGAAATTTAAGAATAAACTAGTTGGTGTTTCAATTTTTTTAATAAAACTAGAATTTTTATGGATTTTAGGAAAAAAGATTTTGTAAAGCGATTTGGTAATAAAATCATTCATAATATTCTCGTAGGCCTATAATATTTTACGGACATCGTTTTGACTGTCATCTTTATAACCACGCAAAGTTTCATGAAAATCCTAGACGAATAAACCCAATTTTCTTGAAAGTTAATAACTAAATGTGTCCAGTGGCGTCGGAAGCAAATTTTTGATGGGTGGGCTCATTTATTGTTTTTGGCACCCAGCCTACACGGTTTCGACGCCACTGAATGTGTCTATAAAAATTTTGAGTTAACTATGGTTTCTTTGGCAAAGTTTTCTTAAATGATCCGTAGAACATTCATGATGTACCGTAATGTCCAAATAACTTGACCAACCCTAATATATAAAACGAAAACAACACCGATTATAAAATGTATTATTTATACATTTTTATCAGCATATTTTGTAACTCTTGCGATGATTCAATCCTCGCAAATTTATTTAACTCTCTTATCTTATCTTATATTTTGTTATTTCAGATCGTCCATGATCGAAACAAGAGACAACAACCGGATCATATAGACTTCTCAATAATATTTACAAAAACTGAATGAAACATTTGGAAAGAAAACAAACAAAACTGGAAAGGATAAGGTGGACGTGAAATATTTGTAAGATAATTAAGATAAACGAGGCAATAAACATGAATTCTAAAATGCATTTAATGAGGAGGACAAAATTTTATTTTATGCACTTATGATGATAAGGTCAACGAGTAAATAGAAATAGAAAAGACTCACTAAATCCAAAAGTATCTTTGTAGATTTTGATTTGCATACAAAAACACTTTGCACATACAAATGTATCAGTGGACTAATTTAAAAATTTCGAGATCATCCACCATAAGTCTGGGACACTTCAAATACACAGAATAAATTCTGGATAAAATAAAATACAAAAACCACACATATCAAGAAGCAGTTATAACGTTGCACGTGGCGTCTACGTAACCTACAAGCAACACAGACGTCACCTGAATCTATTTTAATACCAAACAATAGTTACATCTCATATTTCATATTTTTTTCCACCATGGGTGACCTAGAAGTCCTACAGCACCGAAACTCCCAATCCCCGTCAATGCGTCACCTTTACCCCAACCAGACCCCAAAAACGCAGAACTTGACGCCCCCCAGCACCAGGAAGTCTTATGCAAGTCTCGCAAATGTAACTACAAACAACAATAACACCAGTACAAACAATAATAATTATGGAGAGAAAACGAATATGTTCGTGGGTTTGGGAAGGCGCTCCTGTCTGCTCGCGCCTGATTCCAATCGCGTGGTGCGCGTCAGAAAAACTGTTGTCTTCGCAGACGCCAGAGGACTAGCCCTGACACAGGTAAAAGATAAAACATCCAACCAAATTAACAAAACTAGCTGTAAGTGGAATTCTGTCTTAAGGCAATTAGGGCATCGTGCCTTAAGGTAAATTGCTGGTACTTCCCGTACCATTTTTTTTTTTTTAAACGATTAACATTTTTGAAAAAATTTTACTTCGAAAAAATAAGATTTTTGAGAAACTATAAATTGGACCAACAATTACTGTTTCTTGAAAAAAAAATTTAAAAAAAAAAAAAAATTTTTTTTAATTTTTTTTTTTTTTTTTTAAAAAATGTTTTCTTTATTTTGACATATTTTGGAAGACCTAAACTTTTTTTCAAAGCAATCGTACTGCTTTAACTGCATAAAGACGAAATATCGAAGCGCGTAAGCACCACGTCGCTGTCTAACGGGTAAACATTGGTACGGAACCCATAGGAATGTAAACAAAATTTATACTTATTGTTAAAATCTCTATAAAATATCTGATAATTTGATGTGCATATTTATAATGATCATTTTTGACCGCCAAATGGCATTTTTCTACTTTTTTTACTAGATCTCCGAAACAGCTACACCTGCCTTCATGAAAATTTGATCATTCTTCATATTGTTAATACAAGTAAAATGTTTTTTGAATTATTAAAATCGGACGCTCCGTTCTTTTAAAAACTGAGTTACCGTTTTCGGCACTTTTTGCCCCGTATCATCGAAACGGCTAGACCTGACTTCGCCAAAAACTAATCAGCACGTCTCCTTATCAATACAAATCGAATGTTTTTTGAATTATTCAAATCGGTTGATCGGTGTTCCCGAAATCGTCGACGAAAATTTGTATCCGCACACACATGCATACACGCACACACACATACATCAATTTTTTCTAAGGTATGCCAAAATGTTCAGAAGGTTTTGAAACGTAAAGATATATAAAAAAAAATATTTTCTATTTTTTTACGCTTACTATATAGCTTGCCCTACGGGAAGTTAAATATACCTTTACATATAATTAACTTCTCGTAGGGTATTATAGTAATAAGCCGAAAATCGAAAATGAAAACTTTTGCATTTCTCGACGTTTTGAAGGTTTCTGAACATTTTACTGGCACACCTCAGAAAAAATTGATGTATGTGTGTGTGTGTGTTTTGTATGTCCGCATTTTTTCGTCCACGTTTTCGGGCGCACGGATCAACTGATTTGAATGGTTCAAAAAACATTCGATTTCTATTGATAGGGAGATGTGCTGATAAGTTTTTGGCAAAGGCAGGTCCAGCAGTTGCGGAGATACAGAGCTAAATGTGCAAAAAATGATTTGAATGATCTAAAAAACTTTCTGCTTGTATTGACAAAACAATTGCTTTTGAGGATAAAAAAATATTACATCTTTTTTTATTTTCCATAAAATATTTTTTTAATTTTGGATTAAAAATTCAAAAAATTACCCAGTCTAAGCGCCACTCTGGTACAAATGTTTACCCAATTGAGTTTAGACTGTATATGTACTGGAGCACTTTTCCAATTTGGTGAAAACTATTGAAAATGCCGCCGAGGTGGGCACAGTATAAGTGAAAATGTCGCATAGAATTATTTGCAAATGCGTTTAGACTGTGACTATACGGGAGCACTCTTTCAATTTTGTGTAAATTAGGCAACTATTTTTTTTTTGAAATTGAATTTGAAATGAAATGACGATTGTTAATGTTCTGGAGATAAATTGATTTACATTTGATTTACATTCGATTCGCTCAGACATAACAAACAAGATATCCAAAATAATGAAAGTTACAGTATTTGTAATAATATATTTGAAAACGTTTAAAATTTCTCAAATATTTCATTACGGTACGAAAAGTTCCAGCAATTTGCCTTAAGGCACAATGCCATACACCACTAGTTAATTCATTAAATTGGAAATTTAGCAATAAACTCTATTTATTCTCTACTTACTCACACTATTATTTCTCTACTTACTCACCTCTTTATCAATTCAATTCTATATTTATTATTTTTTCTTTATTGATTTTTTTTTTAACGTTGTATTTTTATTTATCTGGTTATTTATTAATTTATTATTATTTATCTGTTTATCAATTTATTTATCTTTATCTATTATTATACCATAAGTCTTTTCCTCCAGGTGAGGATTATGTCGGAGCCCTCCGAAGTGCCCCCGTTCTGGAGCAGCCGCTTCTTGTCACATCTGATCCCGTCCAGGCTCTACGACGAAGTCGATGGCGGTTATCAGAATGAGACCAGGACGCAGACTTTTTAGGGATAGTTGGCATCCTAGGTTCGAACAACCTGCCAGGGATTATGTGGCTTTCAGGAGGAAGTTGGAGGAGTCCAATGTCGCTCTGGAGAATATTGTCGTTAGGAAGAAGGATGATGGGAGTTGTTCAGGAGGGAACGAGAATAAAGGTGAGGGGAATGGATTTTGATATATTCTTTAGAATCATATTTTTTTATTTTTTTTTATTTTACTTTACTTTATTCTTCTCGTCTTCTATATTTGTAGTTTATGGCTTTATTCATTATTCTCTGTATGTCATTTAGGTTTGCTTTAGTTGTTTGGCTCTATAATATTATTCCATATAAAATTATAGGTATTATTTGCGTTTTAAGAATTAGTATTTTATTTTTGGGTGGATCCTTTTCAATGCCCCTGTTAATGTTCCTATCTTTCTTTTTATTTTGTTTATATGTTCTGTCCATGTCAGTTTTTCATTTATTATCAGTCCTAAGTATTTTATGCTTTCCACTTCCTCTTTTTCTCTATTATTTACTTTAATTTTTAACTTCCCGAAGGAGAAGTTTATGTTTTCATCAAAAAGTCCGATTCGCTAATTTTATGTTTTCTCGGCGTTTCAAGCCATTCTGAATCGAATGAGACCAAATTTAAGGGAAAAGTATGTGTGTGTGTGAACAGATTTTTTGCCGTAAATCGACGTTTACTCAAAAACGGCTGGACCGATTTCAAAAATTTAAAAGCCATTCGATGTATCTCGATGAGGACTATCGTTTGTCAGTTTTGTGCGACGATCGGCGAAGCCGTTTCTTTGTAAATAGCAGAAATGTGAAAAAATTTTCGTCCACGTTTTAGCCCGCAATTCCAAATCGATTTTGAAAATTCAAAAACCATTCGATAGATATTGGTTGGGAATCGTGCTGCTTAGTATTTGGTAAAGATCGGCCGGGCCGTTTTCTTGTAATGAACTGTTAAAAAAAAAATTTCGACGATTTTCGTGATTTTTTTTGACGGTAGATACCATAGTCCTGTAGATCACACTAAAATATTACGGTTCTACGACAGCTTGTTTAGCTTTAAAATTTCGTCTAAGTTTGCAAAAATTAATATCTTTTTTTGGCATTTGTCAAAATTAGACCTTTGATCGACGTTTTCTCAAAAACGCCTGAACCGATTTCAGAAATTTAAAAGCCATTTGATGTAACTCAATGAGGACTAAAGTTTGTCAGTTTTATGAGATGATCTGCCGAGCCGTTTCTTTGTAATTTGAAAAAGAGTGTTAAACTTTTCGTCCACATTTAAGTTCAAACTACCGAATCGATTTTAAAATCAAAAACTGTTCGAAAGATATTAGTTGGGAATCATGCTGATTAGTTTTAGGTGAAAATCTACGGAGCCGTTTTCTTGTAATTACCTGTAAAACTGTAAAATCTACCGTTTTCTTGTAATTAATGTTAAAAACAAATGTAAGCCGATATTTTATGGAACTTTTTTTGGCGATACATACCATGGTCTTATAGAACTTTCTGAATTATTACGGCCTTACAACAAGTAGTATAATTTTAAAAATTTATCAAAATTTGAGAAAATGAGTAGTTTTTTTGACGTTTGTTAGAATTAAAATTAGACATAAATTAAATGAACATACTAAACTATTATAGTCCTACGGTAACTGGTTCAATTATAAAAATTGTTGAATTTTGAAAATTTGGTTTTAGAAAATACTCCGAGTTAACGTGTTTGTTCGTTTTTAATTATGTGTAATATATCTACTCGGAATACTTTTAATCGCTCATAAATTAATTTATTTTTATTGATTAAGTCAATTATTTACGCATATCGGGAAGTTCGTGTAACTTGCCTCAAGGCTAAATACCAATACCAACTAGTTTTATTTATTTTTTAGCCGTCGGTACCGTAAAAGTCCGCAATCTTGACTACCACAAAGATGTCATCATCCGGTACACCACAGACGGATGGAAAACATACAAAGACGAAACGTGCAGGTAATAACAGAACATCCAATTCCGATCCAAAAAATCAGTTTTATATTTCTCCAAATAAAATATTAAATTCATTCTTTCCAGCCATGTCCCCACATCAGCATCTGCCAAGACAGGACCATCGTCCGCTTTCCATTTGCACGACACTTTTAGGTTCGAGTTGCTTCTGCCGACGGTTGCAAAATCAGGCAACCCTTCAGCTGAGAAATCAGGCAACACTAATATCTCTACTCAATTGGCTAGAATGACTCTTGGTGATGATAGAAATCTGAAGAATTCTGATACTGGAGTCGTGTTTTGCGACCGAGTCGAATTCTGTTTGAGGTTCAGGTGTGCAGGAGGAGAGTACTGGGACAATAACAGTGGAAGGAATTACGTGATACAGAGGAGACAGCAGAATGTAAGAGATGATGAAACCAGGAATTCTTGATTGTTGTGATTAAACTCCTGTTTATTTGTCTATTACCATTTTTCTTTTCCCAGGTGATAACAATGAGCAAATTAGCGGATAGTCCGAAGGCTTCGGACAAAGTTCGAGAGGCGACTTACGCTTCCATGAATGGGGGCTCTTGGAGCGAGTTTGCTAGTTGGCAGCACCTCGACAATAATTGTCCATATTGGTGACCGAGATAGTTGAAAAGCGAGACCGGTCAATTATTTATTAATACCATTTGGAGATGAAGTAGGCGATGTGGAGGCCCCTTTATTGTAAAGTAAGTTTACAGAAAATGGAAGTAAAAAGTGGGAGTAGAATTTCTTTTTAGAAAGTATGAATTTGATTGCAAATGCCTGAGTAAATCCAGTTGACTTGGTACTTATTCAGTAGACTAGGTGCATTTTCAGAATGGGCAAATATTGCCACCATTCCTGGTATGAAATATTGAGAATTTATCACATTGCTAAAATTTATCCTATTTATCCGATTGAACGGTTATTTATACAATTGTTTAAATTTATTTAGCCTGAGTATTTACTCAAAAAGATTAATTATCGAGTTATCTGTAAGTTTTTATCAAGCTGTCCAATTAATTATCTAATTGCCTGAGTATTTATTACTTCTGGATAAATCTGAGTGCCTGTTTAGTTGCCTAAGTACTTACTTAGATGCCTGAAGTCTTGTTTCTTCATTTATCCTTAATATTGCTTATTTATTACATTACCTGAAATAACTGGTTATTTTTCAGATTGCCTAGATATTTGTCCAGTTTCCTGATTTTTAACTAGTTACTGATTTATATCTAATTGCTTGAATATTTCTGCAGTCACCTGATACATTATCTGAATCAATTGGTTATTTTTTAGGTCGCCTTGATATTTTTCCAGTTCCCTAAATATTTAATTAGTTGCTGATTTATATTTATTTTCCTGAATATTTCTGCAGTCATCTGGATGTATTCCAAGTTGTCGGATTACTCATGTAGTTATCCATTATTTTACTTATGTAGTTAACCATCAGAGTATATAACGAGTTGTCTGAAGATTTTTCCATTTCCCTGAACATGTTTTCCTCCAGTTGCATTTATATTTTTTTAAGTTGCCTGAATATTTAACCAATAGCTTGAATATGCCTCTAGTTGCCTGGATATTTTTAGTTGTCTGGATATATCTATTTGCCTGAATATTTCTGCAGTCACCTGCATAGTTTTCAAGTTTCCTGATTATTCATGCAGTTAATCCATTAATTTATTCAGTTACCTGAGTATATTACGAGTTGCTTGAAAATTTTCCAGTTGCCTGAATATTTAACCAGTAGCTTGAATATGCCTCTAGTTGCCTGAATATATTTTAGTTGTCTGAATATATCTATTTGCCTGAATATTTCTGCCCGGGATATTTTTCAAGTTGCCTGATTATTCATACAGTTGTCCAATTAATTGCCTCATAATTTAGCGAATTACCTGAGTATTTGGAAATTATTTTTGTATTTAGAAGAATTTTTAGTACTTGGCCTAAAATTCAGGAATTGCCTGAATATTTAGGAGTTTATTTTGTGTTAAGCAAATTTCCTAAGTTTTTAGCGAATTGACCTAGAATTTAGCGAATTGCCTGAGTATTTGGAATTTTTGTATTTAGAGGATTTCCTGAGTACTTAGCCAAATTTTGTTTTTTGCGGATTATTTTGTGTTTAGCAAACTTCCTAAGTATTTAGCGAATTGCCATAGAAATTAGGGAATTGCCGGAGTATTTGGGAATTATTTTTGTATTTAGAGGATTTCCTGAGAACTTGAAGAATTACCTGACTACGTGAGGAATTAGAATTTAGCGAATTGCCTGAGTGACTAGACGAAGCATTTGGAAATTATTCAATTATTCAAATTGATTGAATTTATCGATTTTCCTGAGTATTTATTTAGGGCATCATTTTTGTATTTGGCAAACTCCCATTCTAGAATTTAGCGAATTGCCTGAATATATGGCGAATTGCCTGAATATTTAGCGAATTGCCTGACTAACTAGATGAAGTATTTGGGAATTATTCATGTATTTAGCGAATTGCCTGAGTATTTAGGGCATCATTTTTGTATTTGGCAAACTTTCATTCAGCGATTTCACCTAAAAATTATCGAATTGCCTGAGTACATAGCGAATTGCTTGAAGTACTTAGTCGAAGTATTTGGAAATTATTTATATATTTTGCAAATTATTTATATATTTAAAAAATTCAACGAGTATTTGGGGCAACAATTTTTGTATTCGGCAAACTTTCTAAGTATTCATTAGTGGTTTCCCCAAGAATTCAGCGAATTGCCTGAGTATTTATTGGATTGCCTGAGTTTATATAATAATAATAATTTTTATTTACGGAATTTTTTTGTATGTAAGAAATTTACTGAGGATTTAACGACTTGTTCAAGAAATTATTTATGCAATTTCTTGATTATTTATTAAGTTGTCCAACTATTTATTCAGTTAACGAGTATTTAGATTAGCTGAGTGTTTGGGTTTTTACCTGAATATCCAACCAGTCGCCTGATTGTTCATCTGTTGTTTTTCACTTGCCTGATTGTTCATCACATCTACATAAATCTTATTAATTTATCTAGTTATCTCAGTGCTGAGATCTTATTACCCTGAATATCTCAAAAACTAATATTTAATATTGCCTGAAATATTTAACCAGCTACCTGAGAATTTATCATACTTCTACACATAATTAGACATTCTACATTTATATGTACTATTTTTTTTGTTTTTCAGAACTTATAAATTGAACATAAAACGAAGAAATAAGAAAGAAGACTGTGAATTCAAAGTGCCACTCGATATAAAAAATATATTTATAAAATGTTGAATAATTCAAAGTCTACGTTAACACGAGTCGATATTAATAAATATAATTAATGAACTAGTCTTAATAAGAAGTGAAATATATATAAATAAAAATAGTGCTATAACAATAACAACGTGAACTTCCTTGTGAGCTGTGATAATTATAATGTGAACTTTTGTATATATATATATATATATATATATTATATATTTATATTTTATATTTTACATATTAAAATAGCTGGTCAAGCCCCCTTGAAGTAAAACTAGATTTACCATACTATTTATCCTAATTTATAATTTGTTATTCCTACTGGATTTGTGTAAAAATTAATTTTGTAACATTTTACATTTAATAATTAATTTTATAAATTTTTATATGGTATCGGTATTTATATTTCACATTTTTATTCTATGTGTAAGTAAATTTTTATGATATTATAAATTAGGTCATTCCTCGGGTGCAATTATAATAATACATATTAATTTTTATGATGGTACAAAATTTGTTATCGATATTTAATTATATAATGAAGACTTTGATTTGTACCTGTCGAGCATCATTTGTTATTACATGTTACTTTTATTTTATTGTAGTCATTAAAATATTATATTTTTAGTGTAAGATTTTATTTTTAAGTGTAGGATTATGCCATATCGTTTTCAATATGCAAAGACTGAATTTTAAATACATATATGGATATATTTTTAATTGGGGTTTTATTTTTTAAGTCAAACTTCTAATGAGACTTCTTACAAAGGTTGCATTAAACGAGTAAATAGAAAAAGACCAAGTGAGAATTGTTTGTTGAAAATGCTGAAAATATTTTAAGTTGTGTTAAAATTGTGTTGTAGATACTCTGAAAATTTTAGAGATTGCCTGAAAATATTTTGCTATTTTTCAGATTTATATTAATATATACAAGTATGAATACTTTTATATTAATATGTATATAAAGATTACATTTTATATTAGTTTTTTAGTGTAAAACTGACTAAATTATTATTTTAATAATAATATAAAATACTATTCTATTCTAATTCTCTTATAGTCTCCTGTTTCACACTACTACTTGGCAAAGCTCCAACTTCCTTCAGCAAATCCATTTTATTGTTGAAGTATTCCCTAAACCACTCGATGTGATTAATCTTCTCCTGCACCGTCAAATAAGGATTCTTCGACAAACCCACACAAACCAATTCCATAAAATGTCTAACCGGTCCTTTCTCCGGACACCATCCCTCCAAATGTTTATCCATAAACACATGCTCTGTAAAACAAACACCATGTCCTCCAAACCTTGTTCATTATCGATAGGAAACTTCCACAACTTTCCT